CGAAGCTCGGAGCGGGAGAACCTGCGGGAGCAAGAACCAGGGCCAAGAGAAGGGCTTGAGGCTTATAGGGTTTCGGGCTTTGATTCGAGTTCGAGATTCCAGAGAGCACCATGCCAATTTAGCGCCACTGCTCTCTTCCGCGACATTGGGCATCCACGCAGTGATGACGCATCCAAATGTCTGTCTGTGAATGATGCCCAAGCTGCAGAGCTAGCAGTAGAATTTCTTGGAAGTATGACACAGTCCTGGCTCGCGGAATGTCATTGCGTGCGGCATGCAGAAGAATTGCACTGTTCGCCCAAAGGCTGTGGTGGAGCTCAGCCAAATGACGTGGGAAATGCCGGCATTGACGAAGTCATAAGTGTAGACAGCAGCGTGAAGATGGGTCAAATACTCTCCGAGAATGCCAACTTGGGCCTTGCTCAAATGTCGCCACAGAGGCTGCTACGTGTCAGCACAGGAACCCTGGAACACAAGATGTCTGACATTGTTGCTTCCGGACACCTGGGGCACTTTGAGATCGACAGCTCCCTTCTCCGTGGCGTATCCGTGTGCTCGACACTACAAGGTCTTGGCTGGGTCTGGCGGCTGTGCCAGAGAAACGTGACGGACGAGACTTGGTCGAAGCTTGAGCGGAAGTCCCGGCCGGTGAGGGAATATGATCTCTTCATCTCCCACACGTGGAGGACATCAGGAAACGAGAAGCTTCTCTCACTTCTGCTCAGCACAGGTTGGTCCTTGTCCTTGCTACTCTGGACAGTGGTGTTGGTCATCGCTGTGTGCATCCAGCTGTGGACAGATATTCTGCCGGCACCCTTCTCACACGAGGTGCAGGTCATGAACTTTTCCTCTCGTTGCCCACTCTCGCCATGGGCCACAGCGTCAGGAATGCTCACACTGGTCCTCTCGTCGATCGCCATTCCTTATGCTCCGACCGCCAAGGGAGCAAGGATTTGCTTTTTGGACCCCTCGCAAAAGCTGGATGTTTGGGGGATGGGCTTGCAACGTAGGTGCTGAACACAACAAACTGTCAAGCACAGCTTGCATCAACTTGTCGCATAAGCCATACTTGCATCAGGATGTGGCGTGCATCCACCAAAGAGATCCCGAGCTTAAGGAGCGCGGCATCTACAGCATAGGAGGATTTCTCAAGAAAGCGAAGGAGCTGCACGTGCTGTGGACGCCTTCATACCTTCATCGATTGTGGTGTATCTCGGCTAAACAGGAGGGAAGAGGTTTCAAGTCATGCTCTAACATGTTATGGATGCCCGGCATCTACAGTAGAGCTCGTGAATCTCGCCTAGCATGGCTAGCAGGTGTGTTCGAGCTGGCTGCGTATCGCGTGGCGAATCCCACTGGAAAGATCACTTTAAGTCCAGTTTTCATGGAGCAGTCCATTCTGCTTTGCGCAGTGGTGCTCTGGTGTTCGGCCTGGTGCTACTTGACCGCCATGGCCTCCGGCCTGAGCTTTCTAGGCATCTTCAAGAGCGAGCTGCTGCCACTGGGTATCTCGACCCTGCCCCTCGGCATTCTGATCCACAGGCTCCGGCGACTTTTTCACGCCAAGAGGCAGATGTTTGAGGAGCTCCAGCACTTCGAACTGGGCTCGGCCGAGTGCACAGAGGTCTTCGACTATCTCTTTGTGCACTCGGCGATAAACACTTGGTACGGCAGCGATGGGGAATTCGAGAGGTTTGTTCAGGGGCCACTCTTCCAGGAGCTTTCCGGGCGCTTCTCGACAACCGGTGACGTGCCTTTCGCCTATTGCCTGATTCTTGCCACTGCGCCCATCAGCGTAACCATCGACGAAACTATTTCCCTGTGGTTGGGTGGAGCGCCTGTGCCTGTAGCGCCTCATATGCAGTGGAGGGGGGGCGGACGGGGTCACGAAGGAAGCTTAGCAGATGCTTGCGCAAAGAGCTCTAAGGTCCTGTCCTCATTGATTGGACACGTCTACGGCCTTTGCTTGTGCTGGTTCTTGGTTTGCATCCGCCTACTTTACCATCTCTGTGACCGTTTTGCTATAGGGCCAGGTGGAAGCACCCAGCAGTACTTGCAGCTTGGTTAAACTGGGTGGGTTGTGTAAAGCCGGTTGATGGTGTCAACACAGAACACTGAATCCAGAACCACATGTCGTGTGCTCGCACATTTAGTGGAAAGGTGTCTGCGGCGGAGGCTTCTCAAGCTTGATGCTAGAGAGAACGAGGTAGAAGCACCAGCTTTGGCAGTAAATCATGGAAACAACATGACCAACCGTCATCTGTTTGATATGCGAGGGTAAGCACAAATGGCAACCTAGGATGAGACTTACTAGTGAACTTCTAGGCACCGGTCATTTCATCCGGCAAGACATTTACCAGTTCAGAGTAGGGTTGTGGATGTTTTGGTTGGTCTTGGTCAAGGGTCCAGTTTTGTTTTGAGGATATGGCCAAGCTTGGCTTGGCCTACGGTCCCCTAGTCTCCTAGTACCCTGCGATTTGATTTGCAGCAAGCCATTGTGGAAGTCCCATGTGTAGAGTCTTCCTTTGCAGCAAGCTATCTGGGAAGTCCCATTCATAGGGGCTTCTTTTTGCCCCAAAACCCCTGGGGGGTTGGGTTCTTGTTTAGTTTTTCTTTCCCGCGGGAGAGCGTTCACCAAAAAACGTTTCCGTGGACCGGAAAAGCCTTTTAAAGCCTTTTAGCGAAGAGGACCGGCACCACAGCTCCCCAGTCCACGGCCACGTCCTCCCGTGAAGGCTCGCACCCAGAGCTCCCCACCTGCCCGTCCACGGCCACGTCCTCCCGCAAACGCTCCGCACCCGTCCCCGTCATTCCCCGTCCACGGCCGCGTCCCGCCGCGAACGCTCGGCACAACAGCTCCCGACCCGTCCGTCCGGCCACGTCCTCCCGCGAACCCAGACCTCTTACGTCCACGGCCATGTCGAGCGTGCCACCAGAGTTCCCACCCATGCTTGGCACCCAGAGCTCCCCACCCGTCCACGCAGCCCTGCGGCACTGTCCGGCACTCATCCCCACCCGTCCCCGTCCATGGCCACGACCTCCCGCGAACGCTCGGCACCCAACAGACGTCCTCCCCACAAACGCCCGGCACCCAGAGAACGCTCGGCACCCACAGCTCCGCACCCGTCCCCGCCCGCAGCCCCCCCCGTCCCCGGGCCAAGTCTTCCACAAACGCCTTCCCTCCACGGACCGCAACCAGGGCCCAATCCGCCCCCCTCCACAGCCAGAGCCCCCCGCAAATGCTCGGCACCCAGAGCCTGTCCCCCACAGCTCACCAGCAGCGTTCGCGGGAGGACGCGGTCGTGGACGGGGACCGTTCTGGATTATTGTTCTCCCTCATGCCGGTTTTTGGGTTCCTAACTGCGCTTGCAGCATCGCTCATCCAAAATCAAACTTTCTCAGTAGAGTTGTCAAATCAAAGTGTTTGGAGCTCATTGTCGTGACCATAGAAGCTTAGCGGCCTTCGTTGCATCTGTTTGTGTGTGTGTGTGTGGCATGTTCGGTCCCTGCTGTCTCAAGCCATGCAAACCGGTCGAACAAGATGAGGGTATTGGTTCCATGCACACACGGCACCTGGACGCACGTATGGCATTTGTTCTGCGGTCCCCACAGCATCGAAGACCTGACACAGAGCCTGAAGTGATGATTGCAGAAACCGAGAAGTGCAACAAATTTGGTTTTGAGGACGCCGGATTCAGTGCCCTGTGACCCGATTTCTAGCCTTTCCCTGGGCTCCTAGGCGTGAAAAGCCTTGGCCGAAAGTGCTAGCTCTCTTAATCGCCGATTTCAGTGATCCCACCGAATCCCACCCTGATCTCGCCTTTGCTGAAGTTGGGGCCTTACTCTCCCCTTAGCGCAAGTAGGGTTGCAGCTCCTTGACGGAGGAGCTTGGAGGCGCGAGGACAAAGCAGCCAAAGGCTACGTGACTTTTCCTTGTGTGTGGAGCGAAACGAAGCCCTGCAAATCGTAACTAACCAGCAGCCCGAGGCAGAACGGCTTCTCAATAGCTTGAAGCAAGACAGCAGTTCGCAGATCGAAATCCCCGGCTTGCATTATGCGCAATATCTTGGAAGCAACCCCGACGTCCGAAATCCCAAGCCCGACGACTCGCTGCCCAAACCCGAAGCCACCCCGAAACTCACTGCATCCTGGGCTCACAGTACAGGACCTAGGAGTCGGGGCCAAGGCATAGAGCTGTGCACCGCACAATTTAATGTAGTTGTATGCTTCGTTTTTCAGACCAAAACTTCAAAGGCTTCGAAGATCCCACCTATTACTCGCTGCCCTAAGCCCTTTGCAGACAGTTTGGTTGTCCTTTTGCGGAACATACATCGTAATCGAGTTTCTGTGGTTTTTTTCTGTCGGCAACGAATCTGGGCAAACCTCTGCTCAGGACTTACACTGGCGCAATACGCGCCGTCGACCTGGCTAGTAAGATACATCATCACCGCGCCCTTTCTTCTGCGAGAGCGTTAAGCAAAACATCGTGTCACCATGTTAGAAGACATGACGGTCTCGGATAACATCACAAAACGATAGCGACATAATATGCTATGAGCAAAGGTTCGCATCAAACAAGTTGGAGAGACTGGAGCAGCAGAAGGCAAGCGTTTGAACATCATCCGAAGGATGTCCTCTTGCCAAATCGCAAGCCTCGCCACTGACCAGATGTCGGAAGGAATCAAAGATGGGTGCGCCAGCGCAATTGTTCCCAGAATCATATCTCAACGCAAACCTGTCGGTGGAATGTTTAAGTGCGGTTTCCTTCATACAAGACAAGCACAAACCATAGAAATCGCATCACATGTGCTGGAAGCCGACGCACGCGAGAGCAAATGTGCCTGAGTCCCATTCCGAGGCAAACCGTTCTGATCTACTTTTCCTTCTGCGCATGCTACCTTGCCGGCAGCTTCGTTGGGGAAGTGGCGTACAGGCACAGCTTGGAGGCGGCTTTTGTCCATGCAGGATGCTGCTCCGTGGCAGCCGTAGTGGCATTCAGGTGGCCGTGGTTGCTGCGAGTAATTTTCGCGAGGCTCCAGCGGAGTCCAGAATCGTAGTCGCAGGAGACAGCCCATGTCGGAATGGGTTCACATCCAAGTATTTTTGAACAATCAGTGTTATAGACGCATTTTTGAAGTGACAGACAAGACTACAAAACATGAGCATCGGCGCGTATGTCCGAAATAGTCTGCACAGCAAGGAGATAAAGGCTTCGAAGAACAAAGTAAATAATGTGCGTCGCTCAAGTTTTGGTGCCGCCTCTTGGCAGTTTGCTCCTGTCAGCAAGGCCGTGAATAGTCGCCTTCTTTGCTGCTCCTGAGGAGTTCAGGAGACGAGATACTGCCACGGGTATAGTAAATTCACCCACTCAGGGTGTTTTTGTTTTTCGAAATGTTTTGCACGTAGAAGTTGGTGTACATATGCGATGATCGTTTCGGTTGCTTGAAGTACCCAGCTGCCAACATGGAAAGTCAATGCATCGTATCACCGGTCGCCGCGTCAGCCAGCTTGGGTGTTCGATGATGTTTTGCGCTTGTAGCTGCATGGCCCAGCTCAGAGAAGCACAACACAAAACTACCCTTCGAACTCGTTGCCACATTCGAGTCTTAAGCCGAGACCGCAATAGCAAACCTTGAGCCCTTGGCCCTTCGGCGGAGCGGGGAGGGCACAGCCTCCTGTCTCCGGATGCCGCCATGTCCAGCACCCGTCGCCTCGACGATGAGGACGTGGACGTGGCGCATCCGCAGATTTGAAACTCCAGAGCCAGAGCTTGGCTGCTGTTGGCAGCTGAGGTGTACTTTGCCCAGCATGACATCCAGAGCGTCGTCAGCGACATGTTGCACCCTGTCGCAGAGCGGCTTTGAGTGCTAGACTCAGGGTGTTTTGCTGAAGCTGAGGTATGAGCTCGGCTACCACCGACCAGAGCAGGCTTCGTCTACTGCTACACTTTCATATGACATTGACATGAGTCATCCCGCATAAAGGTTGAGGAAGAAAACCCTCGGTGGGATGTAGAGTTAGGTGTGCGCTTTCAGGCGCCTCGCTGCCTTTGATCTGTACCGCGAGAGAGAATAATTCATGTTGGTGGGTTTCCACTTGGAAGATCATAAAGGAGAAGGGACAAGCTTATTACGGGGCCCATGCCGCGGGGCGAGATGGTGATCATTGAGCCTGTTTGCTGTGTGCAAGGTGGGACCCTTTCTGGCAACCTTTGTCGACCGCCGCTTTGAGCTCGACGGAGCGGTGTCCCGAACACGAGGCTCGCTTTTCATTGGTATCGGTTGAGGCAAGCGCAGGACTCAAGAATTCGGCGAGTGCCATGACACCTTGGGTCTTTCTGCAAGACCTGGAATGTTCTTGCCCCGAAATGCCTGCAATAGAACGAATACTAATCTTTGGACACAGTCGCTATAAGCCTGACACGCCAGAATTGAACCCCATTCAGTCTTCGTTTCGCGTTTATAGCATGCAAGCAGCGGCAGAATCCATAAAGCTCAGAAGCGAAAGCGCAAACGCCGTCGCTAGCGACCAGGCTTCGACCCCGAAGCTTACACTCTCCAAATTCCGACTATGCAGCAGGAAGGGGGGGGGGGTTTCAAACCAACAGCAACTGAGAACTCTCCACGCTCGGTCACTTCTGGGAGGCGGTGGCAGTCGAAATTCTGCCTCGGACAGCTTTGACACCCTCACCGTGAACGCCTCATCGTCGCACCCAACTTCGGAGGCGGCACCGGGGTTTGTACACTCCTGTACTGACGGAACATCACACTTTGTGTATACGTACATAATATACAGAATATGTATATATACATACATCTAAAACTCACAACATATCTATCTATCTATCTATCTATCTATCTACCTATCTATCTATCTATCTATCTTTCTATCTATCTATCTGTCTATCTATCTATCTATCTATCTATCTATCTATCTATCTACCTATCTATCTATCTATCTATCTGTCGATCTAGCTAATCTATTCTAATCTAATCTAATCTAATC